TGGCTAGCTCTACATATTCATGTAGGGTAAACAAGGAGGGATCGATTCTCTAAAAGATGGGATCAATAAATGAAAATTCATTGATATTTTTTTTTTGTGAGATCTTCAATAGTTTATTGAGATTGAGGATGGGCGTAAAGTATATCGAATCAGTATAGCTATCCTACTAATATTTGAAGAAGTTCATATTTTGAATCACAAGTTCTCGTCCCATACACCGAATACATCACTAATGCAATAAACAAAATAAGTTAGAAATTTATGTTAAACATGAAATTCATTGATTTACAGAAAAACCTTAAACAACATTCTTGATCTCTTCATCAAATCAGGACTCAATCTAAACATAAGAACGCAAAATTCCTTCTGATTCAGACACCCATCACCATCCAAATCACCTTCGTTCAACATGCAAATCAAATCTGAGTCGTTCATTCCATGCAACCCTAAAACTGCAGAATTCTTCTTCAAGCTATCCAATGTAACGACTCCCTTCTCAGAATCCATCAACAAGCGAAACCCATTACACAGCTCGTTCAAGAACCCTTCTGCACCCAGTTTCTCTACCATCGACGGGAAAAAATCTTCAAATACAATCTCACTTTCTGTCGCCATTACTGCTCGGAAAACTGAAACTCTTCGAAAGCTCTCGGGAATATTTTGGAAACTCGAAAGACGAAGGGATTTTATAATGTTATAAGTAGAGAAAATTATGAAGAAGGAGATGAAAAGTTGGTGTGGTGTGTATGGAAGAAACAGCCCGGAAACTTAGTTTGAGATATCAGATTGGGAATCATGATAAGCATTTTCTAACTTTCCTCATCACGAAACTAATTTATGGCGATAATTTTCAATAACTTTTTTGGCACGCCATATAAGCATTGGGGATTTGAGGAGGTGGATCCACGTTCACATTTTTAATTTGAACCGGTCAAAACTGAACGTGTATTGTACGTTATTTTAAAATACTTTGTAAGTGATGTAAAAGTAATATTTGGTACCAACTTGTTGGCGGATTTGAT